GCTCTTTTAATTTAGCCCGCTGTTGTCGCATTTTTGGGGAATAGGTAAATACAGGTAAGTGGTTCAAAACTCAAAAGCTACAGAGGTTATGTGCAGGACAATCCCTCCCACACCAGTTGCTCATCACCAGGCTCCTGTCGCGGAGGTGGTCAGCAGGTCCAGTTTCGTCAGCAGCATCCCAAGCCAGTGCGTACGTCATCTCCCTTTCACACAAATAGAGTATGCTGGGTGCAATCTGGCATGCTGCCTTTTTCACTTAACAGCATATATTGTACACGAAGAGCATCCTCAGCTTTTCCCTTTTTTTTTTTTTTTTTTTTTTTTTTTTTTAAGACTGCAGATGGTCTAAACTAGGGGTGGACAAACTTTTTCTGTAAAGGTCCCGATAGTAAATATTTTAGGCCTTGTAATCCATATGGTCTCTGTCATACATGCTGCTTTTTTTTTTCTTTTAAAGAAAAACATTTCAAGATGTAAAAACATTCTTATCTCATGGGTTGTACAGTCCACATTTGGCCACAGACCATCGTTTGCTGATGCTTAGACCCACAGGCTTTTACCTGGCTGCCCTGTACCTAGCCTTCTCCCACGCTGGCCTCCTAACCATTCTGAAAGAGCTAGCTTCCCACCCTACACAACTCATGCTCCCCTGCCCCGCCTCTCACCCCCAGCCTCTCCCAACAGGGGGAGTTCAGACTGCCCGCTGGTGCCCACAGTGCCCTTCCCAATCCACGCACTTCTTACCATGCCTACTGTTGCGCTGGTCTGCGCCCCTGTCAGCTCAACTTTACAGCGCCTTCCTTGCTCTCCTCTTTTTACAAAACCTCTTGCCCCCAAATCCAATCCTGCTCCACAGCCCCAGGGGCCTTTTCCCACGCAGATCCCATCTGGGAACCTCCAATGGCTTGTTGCTGTCCTAGAAGGAAGCGACCTTCCTTATCATTGTCTACAAGGTGGGCCTGTCCCGCCTGGCCCTCTTGTCCAAGCTCATTGCCACACATTTCATTCCCTCCCCCAAGCCACGCTGACTTTTCTGCTCCACAAACAAGCCAAGCTCATTTCTGCCTCTGTGGGTGCTGTTCCCTTGGCTGGCTCCTTGGAGGTCAGTCCCGGTTCAAATACTACTTCCTAAGTGTGGCCTTCCCTCATCTCCCAACCTAAGGGGCCGCTCTGCTGGTCCTCTCTTGCATCATCATGCTCTACTTTCCTCACAGCCTATGGCCACCTAGAATTGTACCTCGGTTTGTCGTCGCAGTCTCTCTGCTTCACTAGAGCGTGTGAGCATCCCCAGTGCCTAGCACATCCCTGACACTATGAACCTTTTGGTTAAACAGCGGAAGAATTTCAGCCCAGTTCACCTTTCCCAGTGGATCTCTCCTCACTCTTCACCTTATAGTTCCGTTGACCTTCTCACCAATTGCTAACCATGAATTACCCTCTTAAAGTTTTATACCTTTGCACATATTGTTCTCTTGGTCACATTCTCCTCTGAGAGACAAACTCTTTCTCACCCATCAATACCCAGCTCAAATGTTATCTCTTCTAGGAAGCTCTTATTCTTTCCTCTCAGAGCATTTTGTACAGACACTGGGCCATAATGATTTATTTATTTACTTTTACACCTTGATTAACCCAAGGATTTTATATATTTTCTAGTGACCTGGTGCATGGATTCATGCACACTGAAAGAAAATTAATTACCCTGTTTTCCCCCAAAATAAGACAGTATCTTATATTAATTTTTTCTCCCAAAGTTACGCTAGGTCTTATTTTAAGGGGATGTCTTATCTTTCCATGTGCTAGGTCTTATTTTCAGAGGATGTCTTATTTTTGGGGAAACACAGTAGAAAGTGGCCGGCAGGGCAGGATTGGACAAGATGGGTCAGGCGTGCCCTGGAGCCAACCTCCTACGGTCACTCCCTGGCCAGCTACACCTGGGGTGGCACTGTGGTTCAAAGGGTGTCTGCGGAGTGAGTGGGGGTGCCTCTGGCAGGTGCAGTCCCTCATCCTGGCCTTTGGGGATTGGGCCAAAATTGGCCTTCTGACAACCCCCGAGGGGTCCCAGAGTGTGAGAGGGCACTCTGCAAAGTTGCTGTCATACAGGGTGTGGAGAACAAATGCAAGTGTGCAGTAAACTAGATTTGGGGCTGACAGTGCCCCAGCAACAACATAAGCCATGGCCAAAGGTGGAATCTTGTTGCCCCATGAGGAATCGGGCTCCCTCCTCTCTGGTTTTGGGGTCGTTACCTGAGAACCACCACTGTTAAGTCATTGCAGCTAGGCAGCTCCTGTGTTAGAGTGTCTGCCCTCTGATGGTCAGTGCATATCAACCGGTTTGATGAACACTTAGCTTATTCACCTTTTATATATATAGATTTATATGGTAAGTATTAACATATAATATAAATAGAAGCACTTAGCTCTGTAATTTCTCTAATAACCCTAACGAGGCAGGTGCTATTATTATCTGTACTTTGCAGATGAGGAAACTAACGTGAGGTTAGGTAACTTGTCCTGGTGAATCTGGAATTCACTACCAGGTCGTTTAGCAGCCAGCCGGCGGTGGCTCTGTGTCCTTGAGCTCTCAGCATGGCAGGGAAACGGATCTGTCCTGTTTCCCTGTGTGAGACCTGGAAGCCGTAGCTTTGCTCAGAGAGGGATCAGTTGGGACTCTCTCACTTCCCTGTTGCAAGGTGCTCCCTTGTGAGGGGCACAGATGTCCCTCTGCCAGCCAGATGGAGAGGCACAGCGACCAGGCTGCCCTCCACACACCTGTGACTGTGCCGTCACCAAGGGCAACCAGATGTCCTTGGGGCCTTGCTCCTGCTGCCACATGCTGCTTATCCATGTGGACATAAGCCGCTCTGCCAGCTCACCCCTGAGCTAATGCGGAGGGACCACAGGGCTCTGGGAAGGAGGGTGAGAGCCCAGAGGCAGAGGGAGACAAGGGCAGAAAAAGCTGCTGCTTTCTTATTCTTTCCTTTAGCGATTGATTTTCTCAGCTTCATGAGGCATCACCGACACATAAATCCTATATATTTAACACGCACGATGTGAAGATTTAAGTATATATTGTGAAATGCAGAGCAAAGGAAACAATTACCCAGATGAAAAGGCAACCTCTGGAAGGGGAGAAAATGTTCGCAAGGTGTATATTTTTAAGGGGTTAATATCCAAAACATATAAGGAACCCTTACAATCAGTAGGAAAAATTAAAAATAAATCCTGGTTAAAAAATAGACAAAGGACTTAAATAGGTATCTTTCCAAAAAAGACATACAATTGACCCGTAGGTATATGACATATGCTCCACCCCTTTACTCTCCTTTATGCGAAGAGACCTTCCTTGCATTAGCATGTTTCCTAAGTGCAGGTCCCTCTGCCGCAGTGTGTCCTGGGATGCAGGGGAACCGGGTACTAGGCCGGGCTCCTCTGATGGCTCGGTAAACTTTTCAGCTCACTGGGAAAGTTCTGTCTAGAGAAGTGGGTCTCAGATGTTAGGGCAGTGCTACTCACAGTGCGGTCCTTGAGCCAGCAACATCAGAATCTCGGGGAGCTCGTTAGAACTGCAGGTTTGAATTTTAACACCATCTCCCAGGAAATGCTTAAGCATATTAAAGTCTGAGAACACCCACCTAGGTGCCTGATTAAAATGCGAGCTTGGGACTCTTTGTCTTAGAAATTTGAATTCACTTGATCAGGATGAGATACAGGTACCACCTACTTTTTCTTTCTGCCTTTTTTTTTTTTTTTTTTTTTTTTTTTTTTGCTACTCCGGTACAGAAGCAGAGCAGGTGCTATATTTGGACAGTCCTGAGATCAGATCTCAGCTCTGCCACCTACAAGCTAGGTAATCCTGGGTAACTGCTTCATCCTGCAAAGCTTTAGCGTTCTCAAGTACACCTAACATGGAGATGCTAAATTACTTTAGCTTCGCTGTGGGCTTTTATTTTTAAAAATATATTTTTACTGATTTCAGAGAGGAAGGGAGACAGAGATAGAAACATCAATGATGATAGAGAATCACAGATTGGCTGCCTCCTGAATGCCCCCCACTGGGGATCAAGCCTGCAACCTGGGTACGTGCCCTTGACCAGAGTTGATCCTTGGACCTTTCAGTCCACAGGCCAACGCTCTATCCATTGAGCTGATCTAGGGTAAGGGTTCGGCTGTGGGCTTTAAAGGTGAGAACACATAGAAAGTGCCCAGCGCCAAATCTGTGGCACAAGGTCAAACAGCTATGCCCTGGCTGCGCTGCTGATTGGGGCATACAATACTGATTACTTTCAGCTGCCAGAGCCCAAACAGGGCTCACTGAGGTGTGGAACCTGTGGTTTCTCTGTTATGTAATCCTGACCTTAAAGACAGAGAAGGTGTCAGATCACTTTCTGTCAAAAATTACCATGCATTATGAATCACCTGGGAAGCAAGCTAGAGATGCTGCTTCCCAGGCGTCGTTTTTCATCAGATATAGGATCTCCATTTTGTTGTTGTTGAGGATATTTTTTCCCCATGGATCTTTAGAGCGTGGAAGGGAGGGAGAGAGGGGAAGAGAAGAGAGAGGAACATCAATGTGAGAGACGTGCATCGATCGCCTCCCACAAATACCCCCAAGCGGAGCTGGGGATTGAACCTGCAACCCTGGTACATTCCATGGACCGAGAATCCTTTTCCTGATCCTTTGGTGCATAGGCTGAAGCTCTAACCACTGGACACACCGGAGGAGGCAGGATCTATATTTTTACGATTTGATGCATGAGTCCTCCAACCTCACCCCGAGAAACGCTGGTTTAGAGAACATGTGTATTTATTCAGTACCTGGAGAGTGTGAGGCACGCAGGGTCCTGGGCTGGTGCTGGGAGGCACACACGGGAACAAGTTAAGACCTGGCCTGGGTCCTCCCCGCCGGGAGCCGGGCTCCAGGGAGAATGTGGGCTCCACGGACATCACACACAGAACAAAGCCCAGCAGCCCCGCAAGGCCAGGACGAGAAGCCGTACCTGGGCCTCCACAGCTTCAATGCCGTGGGAGAGGTTGCCGTTTTGCACGGGCTCTGAAGCATCACTGGATGTCGTCATTTCCACTTCCGTGCTGGTGCTGTTGGGCAGCTCGATTTTTTCTGTGGCATAATTGGAACACACACAAACAAAGCAAATGGCGTCAATGGGGTAAGGACCTTACTGCAAAGAACCCCTAACATACTGGCCCAGGGAGACGACTGGGGGTAGTTTCTGGGTGTGGGGGAGAGATAAGACTGGGGTTGCACCACGTGGCGAAGGTGTGTGCCATTCCTCCCTGGGCTTCCTAGCAGACCCAATCCTCCTGTGCCAGGCCAGCAGCGCAGGCACCAGCCAGGCCTGCCTGCCTTCGGTGGGAGGAGGTGAAAAGCTTCCCAGACCCGTTGGCCATGCTGGGTATAGGGTCTCAGACTTTGGGAGGCCACAGAGCTGTGTGGTTCAGTGTCAGGGTGGCCAGGAGCACCAGATTACCCATCAGTATCAGACACGAGAGTGGCAGGCTGCTCACAGAGTATCAAATGCTTGCTTTTCCGGCAACCTCAGAAGAACCAACAATTTCTCTCACTGGTAAAACATCACACAAAATAATTGGAGAGTCACACAAAAATTGTTGGAGTTGAAGTGGCCAAATTTTGGAAATCACAGGGAAATGTTTGTTCGTTTATGTATTTACTTGTGAAATATAGAGGCATAAAATATGTATATACGGAAAGCCCCAGAAATTCAAATTTATTTTATCTTCCTATGTTTTTGGTAGTGACAGTGACATGCATGGCACGATCTGCTGTGTGTGGTTACGCCAGTTCATCCCAGAAGCTTGGCCCAGTTATTTACTAGTAAACTAAAAAATGCTAAGCATGGGGGAATAGAAAAACTCTGCTTGGAGGGAGTCTATTGCCTGAAGTAATACAACTTTAGGATAGGCCTGCAATGGTCAAACATGACCCTAGCAACACAGGGTGCTGGGTACCAAAATGGAGTTCAGGTGCCCAAGAAAAGACATGAACAGATGAGAAGAAACAACCTCCCAGGCACGAAACCTATCCCAGCGCGTCTTAGCTAACGCCGTGCTTTCACATGGCAGGCTGGGTCTCAGCACCAAAGAATGAAAAACACTTGGGACTCACTTCGAAATAATTTTGGAGATACACTTTGTAACTATTTATCTTAGTGACAAAGTTGTTCAGAGACCCAGTCTGCACAGGAAGCATTCTTGGAGTTATGTGTCCTACCTTCTCATGAAGTGTTAAACCCAAGTCTCAGGTCAGCCAGTCATTAGGAGAGGGACCGGGACGAACCCAGGCATCTAAGTCTTGTACTGCAAGCTGCCTCATTCCACAAAAATCAACAAGCGGTGCAGGAAAACAGCTTGTATAATCGAACTTAAATATCAGGAGCAAAACTCAGCCTATGCAATTAAACGTTTGTGCTGTGGCTTTGCATTTTTAGAATACAAAAGCAAGATAGGTTAATTCCAAACAATTAGTCCAAGTTCACAGAAGCATAAACAAGCAGAGGGGGGGGAAAAGGTAAAATTCATAATCCCAACCCCAAGAAGTAGCTATTATTCATATTTTAGTGTATGTCCTTCCAGCTTTTTTTTTTTTCTTTTCTTTTTCTTCATACCCAATAGCATCTTGACTGTTTCTTGGCCAAAGATTTCCCCTGAGCTGTACGTCAGGTAGCAGAGGAGACAGAAAGTCTTCCAAGGAGTCACATTATTTTGAATGCAGCACTGTTGAATTTTGTCTGCAGATAATTTTAGTATCTTGGGCAATGGGATCATTTACAGCACAGATCCAGATTAGGTTAAATTTAGTTTGTATTTAGAATTGGAGAGCTCTATTACAGTTACAGACAGGGGAGGAGGAACAGGTTCCAAGCTAAGATAAGATGCCTGAATGTCCTGATCTAGTCACCGGGGAGCTCAGAGAAAGTCAGCAGAAAAGACCTGGGCTAGTGGCATTGCTGAATTCCTGAGAAAGGGGAGGCTGAGGCACCTGGCAGGGACTCTGCCACTTGGTTAGGAGTCACCAAGTGAACCAGCTGGCAATTCAGTGGGTGTGCTGTATGCGATGTTATTCGTGTAAAATTTGGTTACCAGGCTAGAATTTCAGAACAGGTGCTCTCTCACTTCCTGTTAAATAGCCAGTGATATGTGTGTGTGTGTGTGTGTGTGTGTGTGTGTGTCCTCTTTATGTGGCATCCCTCAAGTGAAGTGATTTTTTAGTCTTCAAGAGAGATGCCTGGTTTAGGAGCTGGCTTTATTTCAGGTTCCTCATAGAATCCCTTTCTTCTCGGAGTTCCCCTTGGGCAGGAGACAGAGTGTCTACCCAGGGCCTGTACCCACCAGGGGCCCTGGACTCCGCCTGCCTGACACTCAGGACAGGCTGAGCTGCAGGTGTCAGTGTCTGTGCGGAGTCAGGGCGCACTGGGTCCTGCTCTCCACTTCCCTCCACGCCCTCTGGGAAGGGCACTGGGCCAAGTCTCCCTGCACTCACCCACGTGATTGGCAGCCCCATTCTGCCTCTCGTTCTCATCCACCTGGCACTTCTTCTTGGCAATCTTGTGGAGAATGGAAGCCTTTTCTCTGAACCTCCCTGAAGCAAGAGAAAGTGGTGGGAAGGAAAGAGGATGAGGAGGAAAATGGAGAGAGGCCTGTGGCAGATGCGAAGCAGTGGCAGAGCAGGCCCGCGGCTTCTTCAGGCATGCTGCATTGTGACAGCGCCCTCGCCTTCCTGTCCAATCCCTGCAGGGAGGGCGCTTTCTTACCTGTGTGGATGCTTCAGCTCACTTCTCCATTTGAGAATCTCAAGCTGCCAGACCACAGACCAAAGGTTTCCCTGGGATCTCTTCTCTCCCTCCCAATTGCTTACAAAGCACAGATCCTCCCCAAAACTCCCCCTGCTGCGAGATCCAGAACAACTCCAAAGACTCAGAGTGGTTCTGGGGGCTCAGCCACATCTCTGGGAGTAAATGCTCATCCCGGACATGGCGTTGACAGACATGGCGTTGACAGTGGGAAGTCATGCCCAGGAATCCTTTGGTTTGAATTTAGTTTTCAGATGTGTATCATAATGAGCACTGCAGGATCTGAATGAGCATCAGAGCTTTCCAAATTAGCTGAGTCAGCTGCAGTTAAAGCATCAGGGAGGTAACTGATTCTATCTGGGGGGCTTTGGGGCGAGGAATGACCAACTGAGCACAGCAAGTGATGTCTGTTGGTGATGAGATGCATAGAGAAAGGTGCTGGAAAACATACCAGTCTCAAAGTAATCATCTTAAACAGCCGTACGACATGCACAATGCTTCATTTCTTTTCCATTACTGACAAAATTAACAGGTAAGAGCATGCAACAAGCAGAGAAAAAAAAGCATGCAAAAAGTGTAGAGATTAGTGAACCAAAATACATTTTTCTTCTCTAATCCTTGAGTTTCCTCTGCTGTCCTTCCTTCCTCCCTCTGCCTCCTCCCCCCCACCCCCCCGAACTTCCAAGGTACAAAGAAATCTTATTTTAAACTGATTATTGCTCTCTGGTTTGGTGGTTGGGTTCTTCAGCAGCATATTAACAGGGGATCTCATTCTATTTTTCCAGTTATACCAACATCTAACCAAATCCAACCCCAAGTGTTTCTCTTCGAGAGTCTCCCAGGATGGGGCATGGCAGGTTGGCACCCACCATAGGCGGAAATCATGGGGTGTGGTCATAGTGGTGACTGTGTGTGATTGGTTGGGAGTGCCCGAAGCTGTAAAGGAGAGTGAGATCAGTTGCTTCCAGTGGTGAAAGTGACACAGGACAGAGCCCTTTCTGCTCACACGCTCCACTAGTCACAATGCTAGAGGCCTTGCTACCACAGAGGACGCCGTTAGTGTGGAGGAACCTGAGTCTCGGCAGTAAATGTGCTCCAGAGGAGCACTCACAGGAAGCAGAGGGACAACACTGCGTGGAGAAGAGGCCAGCCCGTGGCTGGGGCTTCCTGAGGCATGAGGATGGGTTTGGTGATGGGCATGATGTTGAGGTTGAAGGTTGGCATTAGGTTCACCATGCTGCGAAATTTCCTGAATTTAGTTATTTCTATTTAATCTCCAAGGGGAAACTCTGAGAAGAAAAAATGGAAACAAAAGCAAGCCTGAGGAATAGGAAAAGGGAACAAGAAAGGAAAGAAAAAGGAGAGAAAGATAAATAATTCAAAGATGGAAGAGGTGGGCTAGGGGCTCTGACTGTCTGGAGGTTGCCCAGGAAGCATGGATGCAGGACCCTTTCCTGACTTCAGTCTCAACAGGGGATTTCTTGTAGAAGAAACTCCCAAGGAGTCCTTAGGCCATCTACGGAAAAGCCTGGAAGACAGAATCATCGGATGTTCAAACCTCAGAGGGAAGGAAGGAGAGGGAGGGGGGAAGAGGGAGAGATCAACCAAAGGACTTGTATGCATGCATATAAGCCTAACCAATGGACACAGACACCAGGGGGTGAGGGCATGGGTGGGGGTAATGGGAGGATAAGGACACATATGTAATACCTTAATCAATTAAAAAAAGAAAAATAAAATAAAAAGAAAAAGAAAAAGGAAAGCCCGTAAGAGAAAAAGGAAGTTCTGAAATGTTATAGGAGACGATGCTTCTACTAATAAAACCGTTCTGTGGTCTTAGGGTCCTTCTTTGAACTTGGAACAGTCAGCAGCATTATGACATAAAGGTGATCAATAACTGCTATTTAAAACTTATAAAATAATAACAAAGCAAGAAAGCTTCCAAAAGAGGAAACAAGCCTGTGAAATGAAACCTGAAATTACCCAATCCAAGTAATGTCCCAAAGTCATGAATCCTGGCAGAGAGGCTGTTGACAGAAACCAGCTCTTTGCCATATTGCTTGTGGTTACCGGAACCTTCTCAGCAAGAAATGATTATAAGAGATACCCAAAGCATGGAAGGGGTTGGCCACTCTTTGCGCCAGAAGACATCACGATGGTCACCGTCACGCATGGGATGGTTTCCCCAAATTTTCTAAAGGAGGTCTGGGTAGGAAATGTTTGCAGAATTGGGATTTCATAGGCTCTCAAACATTTTAACAGGTCACCTGGGGTTTTCTAGAGTGTCACCACTTTTCCCACACACTTGATGCTACTGAAAGGTGGAAGGGACATGCCTGAGGCAAAGCTGCAGAGGCTGGCGGGAGAGTTAGCTTCTCCACCCCCTTCTTCAGCTGCTTAATTCAACCTTTGTCTCCGTGAGCCTCACTGATCACCATGCTGCACTCTGAGTGCTGACAATGGCTGCTCCACAGCCGAGCAGGACTTAACCTTAAAGACCAGTTTCTACATCAGCTGCAATTGCAGGTCCAGCTTTAGAATGGAGCACGCAGGAGAGCTCCTTGAGGGTGGTGGGGCCATGTCTGACAAAGCAAGGCGTGCTCACTCCGGACCAGCAGACACCCCTGCGGTCACCACAGGGCAAATGCCTTCCTCACCTTAGAAGAGACATTGTGAGGAAGAGGCTGATAGGATGAGAGGGAGCAGGGGCAGAAGCCATCACAGGACCTGTAATTCTCCAAGGGACCCTTGGGGTCAGAAGGCACACACCTTTAGCACCTGCTCAGCCTGAAGCCCCAGGCTGGGGAGAACATCAGCAGGGTGTGTGTGTGTGTGTGTGTGTGTGTGTGTGTGTGTGATGGGGACGGCACAATATTGTGATTGAGTGACTGTGACTTAAAAGCAGGTAGATCTGAGTTTATGCTTCATTTCTCTTCCTTGGCCTACTGGCTAAGTTTGGGTGAGTTCCTGAATATTTCTGAGTTTCAGTTTTCCTATTACATAGGGCTTCCGATGGCATTGGCTCATGAGTCAAATGCACGGTTTAAGTGAGAACCCGTGTAAGGGCTTACCATGTGCCTGGCATGGAAAGAAATCTGTAAGTAAAAGGAAGAAGAACAATGAACTAACTAACACAAAGCTCTGGGGCAAGGGGGACATGGCCTTGAGTTGCTCTAAGAGAATCCTTGATATCTTCCCTCTCTCAGGCGACACTGGCAGGATTAGGGAATGAGCCACATCCTGACCTGGCAGTGAAAGCATCCTGGGGACCGTGTCAGATTGGGGTTCAGGTTTCAGTGTGTTCTCCAAAGTCAGTTCCAAAACTGATTAGAAAAGGATACCTTTATATCTTCCTGAAACTGAGAAGGTCAAGGTGATGGAGCTGGCCTTTGGTGTTTCAAACACTGACACTTTGCAATCCTACAGAGGAAAGATGCAATCAGCTTTTCCCCATCCCCTGTGCAGGCGGAGATCAGGCAAGAAACCACTGCGGCCACACAATAGATTTGGGCAGGCTCCAAAGAACTTTTGATCTTTACCTTCCAGAGTTTTAACTCATCTGTGTCTCAGGCTCTGAATTTTAAAGTGGGGATCATAAGCACACCCATCTCAGACAGCTGTTGGAAGGCTCTAATGTGTTAATACACACCATGGGTTTAGATGGCTGCTGATCAGGAATTTACTCAGAAACCGTTATGATTGTGGAAGTGAGTGACAGGACATTCTTCCCATAAGTTACTGAAAATAAAAAGATTGACATTCAAAACGGAATGACGCTAAGTGGCCCCAAAGGCAGGACACCTAGGCGATAAGGGATTGCTTCAATAAGCTATTTTAGGCCCAGATTCCACGTTGGATAAAGGTTTGTAGAAGGACACCTGGGAAGGCACATGGACATTCTTTAAATTGTCAGCTGAGCCTGAGGCGACTGGCAGAGCCACATCAAGGTTACCCGCTAACCCCCCCAGAAGGCGGGGTTGGGGTGTATGTTATTCAGTTCTGACTTCCTACCTTTGTCCAGGTGTCGGCAGGGGTGGGTCTAGATATGTAAATCCAGAAAAGCTAGGGCCTACTTAAAAATGCAAATAGGATTCTTTGATCCTATAAAAATAAATGTGCTGCGTGGAGTCAGGTGTCGCTGTCTCTCCATCAGAGAGAATGGTGTCTCACCTAGCTCCTAGCTTGCTTCTATTTCTGCGTCTTGCTCTCTTTAATTTCTTAATCCCCAGATCCTCCACTCAACAACCAGACTTGTTTCTTTTCTGTGCTGGATGCGGAAAAGAGAGAAACACCACAAAGGTTGATGCCCACACAGAGGCAGAGAGGAGAGAGCTAAGGGGCAAGTGTAGTTTTGTGCCTGAGGATAAAGAATCAAGACCTTTTTGAGTATTTTCCAAAGCGAGTGAAGGAGTGATTTTTAAAACATGTTTTAAGGCAACCTTAAAAAATATACCTAGTTTCAGTGTAAACCCTGAAAGTGTTGTATTGTTAACGAGCAACAGATATTTGTACACTTAAAATCCCAAAATAACAAGTTCTGTTTAAATGGTGAGGCACCTCCATCAAAACCTAGTGGTAATTAAAAAATATTTAAAAAATTTATTTCAGAAATGAAGGAAGAGAGAGATAGAAATAACAATGATGAGAGAGAATCACTGATTGGCTGTCTGTCCCTCCCCCCTCCCCCCCATTGGAGCCTGCAACCTGGGCATGTGCCTTGACCAGGAACTGGTTCACATGTTGATGCTCAACCACTGAGCCATGCCACCGGGGCCCTAGTGGCAATTTG